GTAAATCAGCACGATCTCCCGGTCTCCAGAGTTTTTAGCTTAAAATATCAAAGATGAATCAACGGAGACAAACTCTCCTACTAATATTTTGTATAAGTGAATCCTTTGCGTTAATAATTCCAAATGTTGCCACTGTTTTCACAAGACTTAACCCTTCAAGAGGCGTTTGAAACCACCGCACAAATATACAAAGAGCTAAAAGGAACGGAATTCGATGGCGCATTTTGCAAAAAAATGCAAACTTCTAATCGATAGATTTTTTCATTTTTTTGCTAAACAAAGAAAATTGATAGAGAAAATGATCCATCGAAAGAAAAACAGGGGTCACCGCACGTCCAAGATCATTAAATCCAGGCAAAGCTATAGCAATGGCCATCTGCCCTATCCTTGTTCATTTTATTACTTAGCGCGCGCTCGATGCGTGACGTGGGGTGTGAATTTGCAAATAGGCATAAAAATCGCAACTGGCAGGAGGCAGATCAGGAGCGGATTGTTCGAAAGCTGGTAAACATTAACCCAGGATTAAAAGTTAAAGAAGTATTGACTTTTCTAGGATAAAAATCTTTTGTGTAGTTTGAGATCATTTAAATTCAAACCTGAAGGACAAACAATACAAACAGAAAACCTCGCCAAAAAGTTACAAAAATGAAAATATCAACATTTTCGCTAATCCTGGGTTAGTATGGCCCGACCGGGCTTTGAACAACCTGGCCCAGTTGGCTATTTACATACATGACCGAGGAGTTGAACTAGGCTCCACCGAGAAACAACCCCAGCTTAGTGATCAGAGTGTGAATTGAATCCACTTCGAATTTCAAGTCTGGTGCCCTAACAGAGAACATGCTGCTACCCCTATTCACTGGCATTACTTAATTTTGAGCGTATGTCGTATTGTATTTAAGTTTCTATCACTCTTGTAGCAGTCACATCGTTTTTCTACCTCGTGCAGTTTTTCTCCCACCCACCCTCCCTGTTTTCTGTATTAATTTTCTTAGCAACAGGGTAGGTAGCAGAGAGGTTTATTTCTCAGTTCTTATGTTCCATGATTTATCTCGTGTCTTCGGATGTGGAAACAAACTTCTCTCTTGGCCAAAAACAAACGGTGCTGTTCATACGTTGTTGGCGGGGACAATTTTATTCCAGTAAGTGTTGTTTGGACAATTTGGTACCAGATATGTAAAATAGCAATGACAGTATATTGTGATCAAAATGACTTATAGAAGGTAATACAACAAAAAAAACCCACGTGTAAGAACCTAGTGGTTTAAGACCTTGCTGGCAGAAATTTTCCATTCTAATACCCAAATATATAAGAAACTGCTTAGCCTAGCAAGATCAAGCAGGTTCTTATACATGGGTTACAGCTGAATTATGATAAACATTTTAACCGAGTGTGACTTGAAGATTGAAAATTTATATTACAAGAAAATACACATTTGTAAACAAATCCTATGTATTGTATTTTCAAGGACCAAACCCAAGTTTCATTAGAAATTAAGAACCCACTTGACCTAAATTGCCAATAAGTACCCCAAAGTACAAGGATCTATTAGTTGCCAGACTTCAAAAAATGTAGGTTCTTACATGTGGGCTTTTACTGTATCTGAGGTTAGCCCCATCAAGGGTGATTGATGTCCTTACTATCTATGTCATGGTTGAATGATAAGGTGGTTTGTTTACTGCATTGTACTGTAGCTTTCAAAATCCAAACCACTCTTGATTTAAATTAATTCAAAGATTTTTTTTAAAAAGGTAGTACTCTGCTGTGCAAATTGGGGGCACTATGAGTAAATAAAGAAAAATATATTGTAAATAGAACAGAAAACTTGTTTAAAATCCCAGCTGGTGGAAGGCTGACCAGTTGACTATTTACAAAGTGGTTGATTTTGAAATTTTAACTACAACTGTTACACTCTTTTCTCTAGATTTACCTGCACTGTAGAGTCGTTACTGCAGGTTGCTAATGTTGTACCACTGGAACGGGACCAGTCCAGTCCATGAATCTTAGATAGATGAGCTGTGATGTACACTACAGGTGTGTTACCTTTCTTTAAAACAAGAAACAAGTATAAGCACTGGGTCATTCATGAGCAGTTGGGACAGTTAGTATACCTAGTAAGACTACATTCCATTGATTTCCACCAGTTGCTCACGTCTGGTCTACTAACGCAGCCTGAACAGTGGCTAGTAATCAAGCTTATTATATCATTTAGGGGTCAAATAAAGCTGGTCAAAGTCAAGCACAGATTGGTATCCTTTAAGGGTTCAATTCAAATTTTCCAATAAGCATCCCCGACCTTTTCATACGGGAGTTCCCCCATGAGTTCTGGTCCCAAGGGTGTCTAATAATTAGAATCCCTTGGGACCAGAATAAGGTGTTAGGCCATTACACTTATGACACCTACCCGAAGATCCCAAATTCTAACATCACCATCATGGCTGGTGGCAAGAACATGACGGTTCACTCTGTTCCATTTGACTTGGGAAGCTCCAACTATGATGGGATCAAAGAAAAAAAAATTAAAATTAAGAAAAGAAGACATAAGAAGCTTAAGTGGCAAAATATTATTATTATTATTATTATTATTATTATTATTATTATTATTATTATACAGATAGAAATAAACAAGTATGAGTAAATATATTTAACAAAATCATAAAGAAAATACAGATCACAACAAAAGTAAAATGACAAACTCAAAAAAACACCATTAGTCTTGGTTTTTGTCAATAGACAACCTATCCAAGCCATCCTGCAGCTAAGGTGCAAAATGCATCTTCTTGGGTTGGAAATATCCCCTTTTTCTCCCAACTTAACATGTGCCTCCTGTAAATAGGCACCTTCCATTTGGGGACACAAGTTGAGGAGTTAACTTTTGTCTGTTATTGCATCACACATACCAATGGTTTGCAGTGAGCTTGCTGGTTTTTTCCTATCCCTGCAAATAACAAAGGGGAAGAGAACAATGATATAGAAAATAAAATAGAGCTTTCAATTGATGAATCTTGATTAATTTGAGATGAAAGAAGTTTACTATGTGATGCACAGACAGTAATTCTTGGGTAAGTAGGTAAAGTCTGGGTTTCAGCAAAGCAGCTGCACATCAGGCTGGCTCTTATTCCAGTTCCCATAGCATGAAGCTTTCTTCTTCCCCCACCCCCAGAATTCTTGGGTTGCACTTGACATCATCATTCTCTAAAACCCAAAACTAAAAAGCCACCAATGTTATTATCCTCATCAGGCATAAGAGGGAATAAATTTATATTTGTTAACAACTTTTCAGCTCAATAGCTTGCTTTGTCTGAAAACAGGCACATTTTAAATTTCAGAGTTATGATGGTGCGTGACATAAAGCTACATGCATGAATGCGCTTGTCGAAAAATATTACATTTACATCATGATTTGTAGCCTTTTTAGAAGTTAAAGTATTAGGAAAAGTGTTTACATCAATGTTTGCTTGATCAGTTAGCAGATAATCAGTCGCCTAGATAGCCAAAGTAAGTTCCAGATGTTTACACTATTTCCAGGCTGTAATGTATATGAACCATGGAGGTACACGTACAACAACATGGCAGCTCCATACTGGGCTCTGTAACTTTGTGCAAAATATTTCAACAAATATTTGAAGTTTGGCAAAACATACAGACCTAAAACTTGGAAAAGTGTCTTATTATTTTTTTTATTGGGTGAAAGTGCAACCCAAGAATAGCATGCTAGTCCACCACAGGGTTACTCCTAGCATTACGTTTGACAGTATGCAGCTATTATGCAACTGGGTGGAGATAGGCACTGTGAGAGTACTGGTAATGTGTCTTGCTTCAGAGTGAAAAACAGTGACGCTAGGACAGGGATTGAATACATATCATTTGATCCAGAGTCCAGCTCACTGACCATGAGGTTACCACACCTTGCGTCAGGTACATAGTCAAATAATAAGATTGTCCGGAAGCCCAACATTCCACTGTGGGAGTTAGAATTGGGTCACAGAAATTGTACAATGTATCATGCATCAAAGAGACTGTCATATGACTAAGGGCTGTATGTCAGTTCTGCTGTTGACTTTCATACAGAGAATCAAAAGAGGAATCACTTGAGAAAACAAGGTCTAACCTCAAGTCCCAGATGTAAATAAACTGATCCATTGAGCAGGTAGAGAGAAGCTGAGGGTCAAACCAGGACCAGTTAAGATCACTAAAATCAAAAGCAGCATTAGAATGACTGATTAACAAAAAACAAAGCAAATTCCAAACAGCCAGCTTGAACAGGTTACTACATCCACAACGTATCTGTAACAGCCAGTGTACAAATTACAATTCACATTAAAATAGCATGTACTCTTGCTTGGTGTTTTACTATTATCTAATTGGCTAATTAACAATAATTTATCATTCCACGAGCCCACATTGGAAATGAGATGGTAGATAGACAATGAGGTGTATAGTGCTGAGTTGGCTATAATCATCTGATATCCAACAAGCGCAAGTGGAATAATATGTTTTACTAAAAACGTTCCTAAAATATAGAGCACTATGCTAAAATAAAAATAAAAATGCGCAGAAAATCACACGTGCACTTGCCATTTTTGTACAGCATGGTTTAATGGCTCATAACCCATGATGGCTAAGCCAATGAAAACTCTTGAATTGCATTTATCCAATAACCCTGTTTTTAATAACATGTTCATAAATTATTAACTAAAAGTTATATGACAAGTTTGACTTTTCTTTTCAGCACTGTACCCAAATATAGAACTTTAACTTCAAACCAAAATATAAAAGACAAACAATCTCTTTGATATTCCCATTTAGACTGGTGGTCAACTTAAACAACTTAAGACATAAGATTATAGTGCACTGGAGTACCGAATACCATCGCCTAGTTTTCAAATTTGGCTACACTTTATAATATCAGTGCCTTTAGAAGAGAGGTTGGAATTGCCCATCTCTATGTTGTGGGTTAAACTTGTTTTTGGTTTTTAAAATTTTTCAAACCAGTTAGATTTTCATTTCCCTTTGATATTGATTTAGATTCATCATTTTGAATAAGGAAACGTGACAAATCACAAGAATACATGTAAAGCCAGTGAAAATGGAGTGGGGGAAGGTGGCAAAAATTAAATGGGTCCTTTCTTGCTCAAAAAGGAGAGGTTGGAACAAGATGAAGGTACGCCCTTCCTTCCTGATGGCATTCACTATATGCTGTAAATGTACATTGTACCTAATGGATCTTGTGTGCCCTCTGAGAACATGTTGCTGTAAACCATTACCATCTCTCCATGTCCAGATCTCTGTCTTTTGGTTTAACTGCAATGTGGCAATGTAAATTTAAATTCAATGAAAAGCATTATTACATCCTGGATTTATAAACATTTAATAAACTGAAATAGAATATTTAGCTATTATTTAGTAGGTTACCCCATCCATTTGTTCTTATAAATTTAGTTCTTCTGGGTGGAGAGAGACACTGTGATTTTCAAAGTTTAAGGGCACTTTTGCCTACCAAGACTATTACTTCAAAAAGTCAAAAGTTAAAAAATATATTTTACACAAAGACTGATCAGTGTATTAAAATATTTAAATACTATATTAGTCCAGTCGCAGTCAGACCCTTCCGGCCAGAGCATGTTCACAGGCTACTTTAATAAATGTGAATATCCTGGCACCCTTATGTGGGGGTGCAGTGGCCTCATGGTTAATGTGCTCGACTCCAGAGCAAGTGGTACAGGGTTTGAACCCTGGCAGGGGACATTGTGTTGTGTTCTTGGGCAAGACACTTTACTCTCACAGTGCATCTCTCCACCCAGGTTTATAAATAGGTACCAGCAAATTTAATGCTAGGGGGGGTAACCCTGTGATGTACTAGCATCCCATCCAGGAGGGAGTAGAAATACTCCTAGTTGCTTCATACTACTGAAACCAGGATAAGCTTTGGCCTGATGAACCACTTGGCTCGTATGCAGACTTTACCTACCTTACCATTGTAGTTACAAAAGGGGTGTTACCATGAGTTATGCATGGATGAGGGTTTCATCCTTCTTAAACTGCCTTT